AACCCTACGAGGAAGGGGACCTGGTAGGTAGGTTAAGGCCCCATGTCTGAGCTGCATTAGAAGATGGCAGGAACACCTTGCAAGTAAATCACCTGGATGAGAGATATTTTTAAATAGAAGTTGTCCTTGCTGCTTGGCTCTGCAACCTTTATGCTACCAATGGGAGCCGAAGCCTGCAACATTTAATGCTTCTATGGCTGCCAGGAGCTTGGAGTGCTGGGGGGAGTGGGGATGCTGAGAACATCACCATGGGCTGGGGACACTGCTGTCTCCAGCCTGTGACAGCTGGGTCCCAACCGACCAGGCAAAGCCCAACGACTTTGGGTGGCTGAGCCAGCTGTCCTGCCCCGGCTCCATTACCCTCCCTGATGTCAGACAGGAGGATTTATATGTATTTTGGGTTCATTTTTATAGCTGGCACCTGTGAGGCCAGCGCCAGGCAGGGATAACCAAAGGGTCCACACTGCAGGGGGCTATGGGCACAGAGAGCTGGTCTGGGGAATGGGGAAACAGGCATGGCAACCTCTCTGCACCCAGGGACTGTGCTTGGGTCTGGGACTGGGCAGGGAGCTGGGGCCCGACTTATGGATGCTTTTGGAGCCGGGGCAGGAGCCGCAGCTCTCGCAGCCCTAGGGGGGCTGGGGGGACGCTGAATTGGGTGTATTCAGCGTGGCACAGCTGGTGTGGGCTGCGGGGCGGGGGGGCCGCAGTTGCTTCTGACACTTTTGCCTCTGAATGTGATGATAAACTCCCTTTCCCGATTAGCACTGATCCCTCTGCCTCCAAAACAGTTGGCCCTAATGAACATACGGCCCAACAGCTGTAAGCGGTTATACATATGCATGGATATATATATTTATCCCCCCCCCAGCCCATCCATATATACTGGAGATCACAGCTGTTGCTATTCTTCCTTGCAATGCAGATCAGACGCTCTCTCTCTTTGGAGTCTTACTTGACCTATTTTGCAGGCGCAAGATTTTTTGTGATGATGATTTCCCCAGTTGGTGCTTTTGATTCTGCCTGAAACATCTTGATTGAAGGCAAACAATGGCAGCTCCGGCAGCCGGCAGCGCCCCGCACCCACCCGGCCCCCCCGGCCCCGCCAGCCGCCACACGCCGGGGGGGCCAGGGATGGGGTCCGGCCGACAGCGGCTGCCGGCTGGTCCATCCCAACCCGTCTCCTCCGATGCCGCTTCCCTGTGCCCACAGGGCGTGACTCTGCCACGTGGCCCATCACCTAGGCCATCCAACCTGGACCTTGAGACTAGTGCTGCTGTCCCCATTCCCTGCTCAGCTGTCCCCTGCTCAGCCCAAGACCGGATGGGGACATGATGCCAGAACTGGCAGAGATGTCAAAACCCCAATGGCTGCTGTATCCCACAGTGCAGTCATGCTCTGAGCATCCTATGGGTGATGGAGACCTTTGAAGCCCTTTCCGTGGGGAGCCCCAGCCTCCACTCACTGCTCAGTGTCACGTTTCGGGGCTGTGAGGAAGCCTCCAGTGTCCCCACAGCCTCCCCAGCCACACAGGGTGCCCCAAAGAAGGGCCCCAGAGCCACTGCATCCTGGCAAGGAAAAGCAGCCATCCGGGCGCGCACAAAGCCATTTCTTGTTTGGCGTTTTCGTTTGAAGTGTGTCCTTCATCTGGGTTTCTACAGCAACTGGGAAGTTCCTATCCTGGCCCAGCTGGAGGCAGTGAAGCAGCTGGAGGAGCAGGACGGCAGGAGGTGAGGATGGGGGGTGGGAGGGGAAGAAGCCAAAAAGAAGTTTTTTGAGAAGTAGGACTGCACTTTCCGCTTCCATCCTGGGCCCAGGGCTGCTGCAGCTGGGACAGGACTCCAACCCATCCCCGTCCTTCTCTCCCCAGAGGCAACACAGGCAGCTGGGGCCAAATCAGGGGGTGTAAAACACCAGCCTTTAAGGTCCCTGCACATTAGGGGTAGACTGAGGTGTCCCACCCTGACCAGCCCTGGCATGGCTGCATCCCCTCTGCCAGCCTGGGTTAAAATGAGTGAATTACCTTAAAGCTCTTAAAAGAAAACAACAAAACCCAATGAGCCACCAGTGATTCATCTTAGGCAGTGAGTCTCTTCATTTATTCATTACGAGATAATACCCAAATCTGGCTAATTAATATTCCTGCATATTTTCCAAGGGCTGATGAGGTATCTTAAACATCTCACCGAGATGGGGTTTCATATTTAGAAGGTTGATGTGCAAACTTAGATTGACACTGTCTAAATATACCCTCATGTTTAAGCATGGGGCTTTCACTCCCAGGGTGCCGGGAGCGTTCCCCAGGCTCACACCCTGACTGGAAGCGGGACCTGAGGCTCAGCGGGTGGGAGAGTGTCCCAAAAAGGCTCCCGCGAGGCAGAGCATGATGTTGTGTGGTCCCTCTTTCCACAAAGATGTGAGATTTCTGTTTGCTTCGGCAATGGGAACAAAGTGTAGCAGGCGCTGACCCACTGGTGGTCATGGGGTCAGCAGTGTTTTGGGGTGAAGGGTTGGTGCAAGCACCCACACAGCTGGACGTGCTGATAGGTACCAGAGCAGGGCCTGCAGCTTCCTGCCGAAACCCTTTTCCAAGGTTAAAAATAGGACTTGGTTGCAAACTGAAAGCCTGGTTTGCATTCACCCTCATTATGTTGATTGCTTATTTACATGTATGCAAATGAAGGAAGAGGCAGCAGCTCCTTCACCTGGGGACCCCTTGGCACGGCAGAGCCTGAACCCCAGTGTGTAAATCCCTGCCGTCCCCTCCCCAGGATTGCCCTGAAAATGAACCATCAGCCCCTCCTGACATGCCGATCGAGGGATGAGCCGCAGCCCCGTGCCCTGAGTGTGGTGGCCGGTGGCACGGTGGTTACAGCAGCCATTGCCTCTCCCCTCACCCTGCTCCACCAGATGTGCGTGTCCGGCTCCAGCTGTTCCTCATCAGCCTCCCCCGTGCAGCACCGCCGGCCTCGGGATCCTTTTTCCACCAGGCCCCACGTCCTTCATCAGACACCAATTTGGTCTGCCCCAGCTGCTCATTTTTCTTTCCGCCGTGTGACACGTTTTCACCTGGCTCCTAATCCGTCTCTTTCCATTCACAACTCGAGCTGTTTATGGATGTGCCTCTGCTCTCCCTGCTCTCCACCCCCCTTCCGGACAGAGCCATCCATCAGTAAAACCTTGCTGTGCACCCGAGCATCAGCACTTCGCCTCCCAGGACACCATTATCCCAACCGGGCCATAGACACACGTTCCTCCTGCACCCCCACGGAGCCATTGCCTTCCTTCTCACCACCAGCAACACACGGGGTTGGATGGCACGGTGCTGCAGGAAGCTGGGACACCAAGGACACCAGAGGCCTCTTCCTGGCTGGGAGGGGCCAGAGGGGCTGTGGCCCCAAGGTTTTGCAAGTGGCACCCACTGTTTTGGGGCTGCTCTCTCCAGCAAAGAGTGAGAGTGGCCCATCCCTGGGAGCGTCCCAAGCCTTTGGGGGTTATCCTGTGGGGTGGGGGCTGCGCCCGTGTCCCCCTGTCTACAGGCAACAGGTGCTTTAATGCCTGCCCTGACCAGCAGCTGCTGCTCTCACAGCAGGAGGCAGCTGTGCCAAGGAGGAAGTGGATGAGGAGGAGGACAGCTGAGGAGTCAAATTTGGAGGCACCAAAGCATAGGGCTGGGGAGCACCCTGAGGTGGGGGGTGGCTCTGGCTGTGCATTGGGGACCTCCCTTCATGGGAGGGACATCACTCATCCCACCTGTGTCCCCCTGACCCCTGGGGCTCTTCCTCACCACGTGGCAGTGGGCACTGGGAACACAGAGGGGAAGCATCATGAGGTCCCTGCACAGAGGCTGGGAACATCCTGCTCCTTCCTGCTGCCCCAGGATGCTTTGCTTGTGACTGAGAAGCAAACCCCCAAGTATCCCAATGGATTGGGGGATTCCTGAACAGCCCAGGCAGGACAGGGTTGGGAAGAACCTGGCAGGACAGTGGGGCCGTGCTGCCACCCTCTGCACCCAGTGCATGAGGCAGCATTAACCCAGAGAGTGGCTAGAAACATAGGGACAAGAGGTGCTGGCTCTACACTCCAACACTGCCTGGGAAGGGGGCCCCATTGGCCAGGGATTTGCTGCCATCTCCATTGGGATGGAACGGGGGGAGCTAGGTGTGAGGGTCCCCTCCCTTGGACCCACTGTTCCCCTCTTTCAGCTCACTGAGACTCTCTCCCTTTCCTGTTTCCCACCAAAGCAGCACGGGGGAAATCCAAACCGGAACTAAAGCCAGGGGCATTTTGCAACCAGGAACAAAATAAGGCAAGCCAAGCCTGAAGAGAGTGATGAAAAAACCCTCCTGCCTCTAGGACACTGCTCTGCTTTATGAAGTCAGCCTCATTTTTCCCAGACCGTGAGCTCACCCCTGCACAGCCACAGCCAGGCCAGCCCACGGCTCCACCACACGTCCTGGAAAAAGCGTTCCTCCTCACCCTTCCCAGCCTTGGCTGAGAACAGAAGGTCCCCAAACGAGCCCAGGGTGCTGCCAGCACCCATAAGGCCCCACGGGGCAGTGGGGCTTTAGGTGGGGACAAAGCCTCAAGGGCTGGGTGCCGGGGCAGCAGCGTGGTCGGAATGGTGGATACTGGCAGAGTCAGGAAAGCTGCTGTCCCCAACCCCATTCCCATCCCACAATGGGGATTGTTCTGGAGGCTGTGGGCAGGATGTGGCCCGGCCGGCTCCATGCCTGACTCACATCCTCGCCGTCTGGGAGGGAGCTGGTGGAGAGCCACGGCTCCAGCACACTTCCCCATGGGGATGGGTGCTAGTGGCAACCCCCTCCATGGCTGGGACCTGCTGCCCCCCATCCCTGAGCTGCTCCCTCCCAAACAGCCCCTCCGGAAAACCTCCCACCGTCCCCTTTGGGACCAGGGAGTGGTTCCTTCCAAAAGCAGGTGCGAGCCTCCTGTCGGAGCTGGCGTTCCTGGGGGAAGAGCTGCAGCAGAGCGAGGCATTTGCACTAAGTGATCACATTTATTTGAATATTTTATGTGTGTGTGTGTGTCTGTGTGTGTATCTAAAATCGGTTACAGAATAAATACCTGTGCCTTATAGCAGGAAGTCCACTTTTTTTTTTATACAAAGTGCTTGTTACAGGAAGTTGCATCAGCGATACACAGGACGGGGGTGCCTTTCAGCAACGCTTCCCCTCCTGAAAACTAGAACAGATTTTTTTTTTATTTATTTATTCGTGGTTTTTTTTTTTTAAAGTTTCTTTTCCCTTTTTTTTTTGTGCATTAAATTTCCTGCCATTGTGTATTTACAAATCTCTGAAAGAAGGAAAAAAAAATGCCAATATGCATGATAAGTGGCCTCATAACACAAAAAAACCCAGCCTTTAAAAAAACAAGGTAACAAACCCAAAATCTACAAGTATCGTTTCATACTGAATCAATGATAGACTTTTTTTCTTTCTTTTCTTTTTAAAAAGGGAAAGAAAGGGGTGGGGAAAAGGGAAAAACTGAATCAAACCAGAGAAAATGAACTTGGAGAAATGGAAAGAGAGAAGGTGCCATTGTCCCTTCTGAAGTTTTCCAAAGGCAGAGAGGAGTGAGGAAGAGAGCGACGCACAGACCCAGACGTCCGACTGAAATCCCCATCAATTTCTTCTCAGTAATTTCTCCCTCGTGTTTTCCCAGCGAGGGGCAAGAAGGACTTTCCAAAATTAAATTAAAAAAAGAATTAAAATGAAAAAACCTTATTATTTAATTTTAAAAGGATTAAAAAAAAAAAAAAAGAAAAGAGAGATACGATAAAACAACCCTCCCCAAAATCCTGGAGGGGTGCGAGGCAGGGGAAAAAATTGAGTTTGATTTAAAAGGGGTTAAAAAAAAAAAAAGAAAAGAGAGATACGATAAAACAACCCTCCCCAAAATCCTGGAGGGGTGCGAGGCAGGGGAAAAAATTGAGTTTGATTTAAAAGGGGTTAAAAAAAAAAAAAGAAAAGCCAAACCAAACCAGACTTTTCTGCCTGAACACGTCATCGAGCGGGACTCTCCAGAGAGTGTGACGGTTAACTGGTGACGTAGTGTTTCGCCGATGGCTGGCCGTAGACCCTATAGAAATCCTGCCGCCCGTGCTGCTGGGATGCGTCAATCCATTCCCTCACGGCAAGTCCCGGGAGCGACTGGGGGACGGCGGGGGCGGGTGGCAGTGGGTGGGAGTACTCCTGCGACGAGACTGTCCAGGGGAAGTGCCCCGACCGCGGGTAGGGCTGGTGCCCGCTGTGGTTGGACACAGAGGAACAGTAACAGTTATCCACGGAGCAGACGAGGATTTTGCGCCCGCCATACTGGGAGAGCACGGACTGCTGAGATGACGTGGTGTTGGGGTAGTGAGATGGGTTGAAGACGGAGCCCGAGTGCACCGGCTGCGGGCCGCTAGGAAGTCCAACTATGTGCTGCGTGGAGCTACAAGGCACCATGGCTTGTGCGGACTGCCCCTCGCCAGCTGAAGCGCCCTGGCTCATGTACTGGCTCGCCACAGTCCCGGACGATGGCTCGAGGAAGCTGCCCTCGGGGAAGGCGGTGGAGTGCTTGCGCTTCTCTGCGCCGGAGTTGCTGACGGTGCAGGGGTACATGGGGATACTCTGCAGGAAGGGGACAGGGGTGCTCAGAGGACCTGCGGAGGGGAACGGGAGAGGGAAACTGTATCAAGCACAGCATGGAACAGCTAAAGGGTGCTCTGGACATTTATCCAAACCTGCAGTGAAGCCCCAAAACCTGCACTCCAGCCCCATATGAGCAGAGGGTCCCCCACCCCACTCCACCAGTGGCAAACCGGGCATGCAACCACGCACAGGGGTTTGCAGGTTCAGTGCTGGACCCTTGCCAGCAGGCTTGGGGTGGCCTCAGGCACTGCTCTCCAAACAGCTCATCACCATAGTCCCTAACAGGACCAGGGTGGGACAATCTGGGGGACAAACCCAAATCCCCCAAGGAGAGAGAACTGGGAAGCCTCTGCAGGACATGATCTGCTCTCAGGTATGGGCTGGGGGCTGTGGGACCATGCTGGGCCCTGGTCCCTGCCCACATCGTAACCCCTACTTTTTCACTGACTTTTCCTGCTGATGGCCAGTCCCTCAAGAAGCCCTATATTTCAGGGTTTCACGTAACTCTAAAACACAGTGCCCTTGGGAGAGTCAGGATCTTGCTTCATGACTCCCTGTTCCCCTGCTGACTGCAGAGGGGCTCCCCCCAGGGGTCCCTGCACCCTGACAGCTCTCCCCACCCTTTTGTACTGGGATCTGCAGGACACCCAGCTATGGATACAGGAGATAGTGAGGTCCCATGCCCATGCACCCCACAGCCCTCAGGTTTCACCCACCTTCCAGCAACTTCCTCAGCTGCTTCTCCTTCTTGGCGATCTCGTTCAGGAAGAGCTTGGAGTTGAGGTGGCCGATTTTGGGTGGGGGCAGGCTGCCACCTGTACAGTTCTGGGTCCTGTTGGGGACAATGGACAGAGAGGAGAGGCATGAGGGACAAGGCAGACTTAGAAGAGGATCAGAAGCTCCTTCTCCTACACCCTCCCAGGGCCAGACTCCCTCCCTAGGGTGGAGGGCAGAAGGGAGCTGTCTCTGGCAGGCAGGACCTTCCCTGTCCAGCTTTGCCCCAAGCCAGGGCACATCTGCAGCCCATGTCCCCCCTGCACAGCCATCCCAGATCACCTATGCTCTGCTGGTGCTGGCTCTGAACCCCCTGCCCTGTCTCTGGCCCTGTGGAGCTGGACTGAATCCTGCACCGCAATCTGGCTGGAGTCCTGGGTCCTAGCTTTGCTCTTCCACAAGCACACTGCTACATTTCTCCTAGTCCAAGGGAAGGACCTGATTTAATGGCTGCACGAGGGGATGTTTTCATCCTCCCAGACAGAGAGGGAAGCTGAGGCATGGCACGTCTCTCCCAGGCCCTGAAGCATCCCTGCCCTTGTCCTCCTCTGGACATTGTGCTGTTGTGCCCCTGTGAACATGAATGTGCCCTTTTCCCACAAACATGCTTACCTGTCCATTAAGATTTTCACAGACTTGGTGTTCTAGGAGTAGAAGGAGAAGCTCTGGTCAGTAAGGCCATTCCCTGCCACATATCCCCTTTCAGTATCAGCTTCTGTGGTCCCCCAGGAAGGGACAGGCTGCACCAGGGCTGCCCTAGCCCCATCTCCAGGCTGCAGCACCTCCTCATTTGAGGCTGGCACCGAGCCTACCCCACTGCTCCTTGCCTTCTCCCACTGCTGAGCCCTCTGGAGGCATCAGCCAGCCCTGCCAGTGTCCCTAGCCTGCTCCCTGCCATGCCCCACACCTCCCCAATGCTCCCCACACAACCAGCCCTCCCCACAGTCCCTGTCCCACCCCCACCACGGGCAGCTTGTCTTACCTTCATGAAGTTGATGTCCTCAGTTTTGTCAAACATGACCTGAACAGAGCTGAGGAGTTTCTTGGCCTCCTGCATGCGCTCATTGAGGTGCAGGACTTGGGCTGCATTCTCGTTGCAGAACTTGGCCTGGGCCTTGTCCAGGATCTCCATGGTCTTCCGCAAGTCCTCGTCCAAGATCTGGTGCATCTTCTCATACTGCAGGCGAACCTCATCCTTCAGCTGGCTTACCTTCTCCTGGGGAGAGGAGCAGGGTCAGGCCCTCTGAGCCCTCCAACCTCTCCCATGATGTCCCAGGACACCTGGGTCCTTTCTCCCAGGGAGAGAAAGCAGGGAAAGGTGCAACCTGAAAGCTGCACCCCAGTTCTGCTCTCCTGCATCACCCACACAGATCCAACCCTGCCATCAGCTGCCACATGGGACTCCTATGTGCCAGATCCAACAGGGACACTGCGGAGGTTTGGTTGGCCCAGGAGATCCCTGGACCTACTTTCTGGGGTCTACCTGTGAATCGCCTCCAGAGACCTAATGTCAAGCAACAACCTGCTGCACCACCAGTCCAGGTGTTCCTGTTGTTTTTCTTAAGGTCTCGGGCACCTCCAGCCTCACTGTCACTGGGCTCGTACCACTAATAATAACGAGGAGCAAAAAAAACCTGGCTTCCCACTCGCAGGCGCACTCCATGTGCATGCCCGGGGCCCACACGTGTGCACCCACCCAGGCACATGCAGGCAGACACAGACAGCACTTCCAGTTGAAACAGGGGCTGAGGGGCAGCCACAGTGATTCAGACACCCCCAGCTATGGGGGGACATTTGTTGGCACGTGTGTACAGAAACACAGGGACCTGCAGCATTCAAGGGCATCATTGCTGCTGCTGCTGCTGGTTTTAAGACCCAGTGAAGAGGTGGGAGCATCCACACGGAGAAAGATTTGATGCATATATTAAAAACCTCCTTTTTTCATTGTAAAAGGGTTGTTATTTGTGCTGCGGTAGCATCAGGAGTCTGTGGCCCACTCCCAAGTTAAACATGATGGGAAATGAGCTCTGGAGAGCGAGTGAAACACCACTTGCTTGGAGAGAGAAGGGTGCAAGCAGGAATCATGTCCCAGGTCCTGTGTCGGTAGCTGGCCCTGGGTGTGGGGCTGCTGGGGAATTTTCTGGGGGCTCAGACAGGGTTTTGGGTCCAGCACCAGGCAAAGCCACAGGGTTTCGGGTCCATCACCAGGCAGAGCCATGGGGTGGGTGGGCAGTAGCCCAATATAGCCAAGTGAGAAGTGGCAGAAGGCAAGCCCACTCCAGGAAAGAGCCGCCTTCCCACATCCCTGCTTGCAGGAGGCCAACTGAGCATGGGAGCTGAGGCAGGTCATGCTGAGCTGCTCATTCTCCATGCTGGAGAGCCAAAGGACATAGCGAGCTTTGCATCTTCCCTGTGTCTCCCTCCCTGCTGCAGAGATTCACCATCTCCATCACAAGCAGCCAGATGCATCCCGCACCAGCCCACCAGGAGGACAGCTGAGTCCAGCAGGGTCCCCAGGAGCAGCCCAATCCTCTGCCTGACTTCCCTGTCTGACAGCTGGGACAGGGATGTGGAAAAACCTAGGACAGGATCCAAGGCTTATAGCTCGCTGGGCACAGAGGCCAAATCCCTGTCCCACTCTGACGTACGCATCAGGTATCTGACATGGAGGCAGCAGTCTGAGGCAGCCCCTGCCTTTCTCCCTGGTGCTGCTGGGATGCTTTCATGGGAGAAAGAAGGCTTTCCCATCACTTCCAGATGCCAGGCAATCAGAGGTCATCCTGCCAGCCCCACTGGTGTGAGAGACCCCTGAGAGAGGGACCAAACAGCCCCAGACATGCACGTACCATCACCCTGCAGCTGCCATGGCAGAGCTGCCAACCTTTGTGTTTTGTAACAAACCTTAAACTGCTCCACTCCTGGAATCATACAGTTATGTGAATTCACAAATATACACACAAACATATATATAAATAAGTTTTTACATATATAACTTAATAGCCCCTCACAGCTGCAAAAATTGACCAAAAATTCAAACTAAAGCCACAGAAATCAGAGAGAATAGAGGACATGCAGTGTTTTCTTTAAATCTCAGATTTGAGTCACTCTCTTGATTTTAGGGTGATTTAAAAACTGTGCATGCCTGAGACTGCACTGGGATGGGAGGGCTTTTCACCCATGGCAACAAAACCTTAACAAGACACATGGGTATGAACTACCCCTTCCAGCAGCGAGGGGCAAAATCTCATTGTCTATGCAGCACAGGCCAAATTCCTTAGGTATTTTGAAAAGGAAAATATATCCCTTCCCCTTCCATCCCCTCCCAAATCTGGTATTTCTGAAGTCATGAACTCCTCCTTCTCCTCCTCTTCCTTCAGGATCAGAATTTCTCGGGGTAATTTCTCATATTTCACGCATGACCTTGATGCCAGGAGAACCGCAGCTCCCTCATACAGGCGCCCTTTCCTGGCTCTGAGCAACTCTGATCCCAGTTTGTCTTTTCTGAGACAAGTCGCCAGTTTCCAAAACAGACACTAAGAATGCTCTGTATTCCAACACCAGCTGAGAGTGAACCCATCTCATTAATTAATGAGTTAACCAGTGGCTGGGGTAAGTGGCTGGTCCACCATGACCCCATTGGCCCCAGTGAGATGGGGCTAGTTGATGGACACTAGCTTATTCTGAGATGGACGTAATCTGTCCTCTCTCTATGGAAAAAAATAAAGTCGAGGTACAAACGTGCTGAGCCCATACAAGGAGTCATGACACACACTGTGGGCATTAGCCCCATGTGGGAGCAGAACCACTGGAGGTGGAAGGAGAAACGAGAGGAGGCTGTCCTCGGCTGGTCCATCAGGAGCCCCACCATCAGCAGAGCAGGGATTCCTGGGGAGCCATCGTGGCACGTCGGATGGGTTTGGGATACCAAGGTCATGCACTGGGAGGGAAATGCTACTTGGAGGGGCATCTCCGCAGGAAGCAAACAAAGCAAGTGCTGCAACATCTCACTGCAGGGAGGATGCACATAGCTGGTCCCCGTGGGATTGTGTTGGGGGAAGGCTTGCTGACCACTGCTATCTGCCCACGGATTGCTGGGAGGAAACCACCACCAGGGAAATACCACCCTTGCTCTGTGCACCTTACTGCACCTCCCAGTCAGTCCTCCTGAATCTGCACTGGCCCCAACTCTCAGTGGCCGCTCCAGCATGGGACACATTCACCCCCCAGGCAGGGGATGGGGGATGTCTGCTGGGGGACAGGCAGTGAAGAACTACTGCAACATCAAATTCCTGCAGCCACAAGATAGCAAGATGGTAGCACAGAGTTTAACAGCTCTGATGATACAGAGTATCTAGGCTCCTTATCTGAGAGTCACTGCACCGCTTCAGCACGGCAACATGAGATGTGTTACATACACGGTCCAGCCCAGCCAGTTGGGCAACCCCCTACTGCAAAGAGGGGTACTGGGGAGTGGGAAGGGGCTCACACCCACCCAAAACCTCCCAGGCAGGGAGAAATCTGTGGGCAAGATGTCTCCCTGGCTTGTCTTAAACTGGTCTCACCAGTGTCCTCTCCCAAAGGGCAGAGCTAATCTTGTGGTCACTGCTGAGCCCACCATAACAGCAGATTGTGCCCTTGCCCTGCCTGAGGCCCAGCACTCCCCTCATCCCTGCTTCACAGCCCCCAGCAGCCCATGGCCCTGAGGCAGCAAAATCCCATGACATGCCTCAAGGTTTCACCTTCTCCGAGGCTGGTCAAGGCCCTTGTGAGCCTCTTAAGGAGAGCTGGCAGGAGAGAGCCTGTGGCACCACTTCCCTGGGGTGCTCGAGTGCTCACCAGCCCGTGCCCAACTCCCAGGAGGATCAGGAAGGAGCCTGGCAGCTTCACCTGACATAAAGCAGTGCCCCATGACCCGCTGAGCTGCTGTGGTTTTAGACAAGAGCTGAAGCAGTGAAAAGCCTGACTGTGTTCATAGGGTAAATAAAGCCCACGCAGCTTCTCTGATGTTTAATAAGTGCTGTGCATCCTTCAGGGCCATTCACCTTGCAAGAGCAACCAAGTCCCCGCACACTGACCTGTGGGATGCTTGCAGGATGCTAATTCCCAATCAGCTGTGCTGAAACTGTCTGTGGGTTTGGAGGGTGCTATAGCAGGGCAGGTGGACAAACCATAGGAGTGCACAGCCCTTGTGCCTGTAGGAAATTGGGAGGAGGAGAGAGCCAGACTGCCCCACAGAGCGCCTTTAACCACAGCTGGACGGCTGGCCCAGGACAGGCGCACTCACTTCCCTGCCTCTCTCCTTCCTCCTCCTCTGCGCCCAGGCCTTCCCCTCGCCGCCAAATCCCAGCCACGGAGTGAATAAGGACATTGTTTGCAGTCACCGGAAAGCCAGAACGGAGGGAGCAGCTTGAAGGACAAGGGGGAGAAAGGGTGAGGAGGAGGAGGAAGGTGGAACCGGAGCAAGGAAGCCGCAAAGGGCAGATGCCTGTTGCGGGAATGGCTCCAGACACCTGCAGCTCAGCCCAAGGACCGGGATCAAGGGCTCCCATTGAGACACACGTCCCGGCACGTTGCTGGAGACGGGCCTGAAGTCACAGTGACTGAATTTTAATGCACCAAAAGCCCTGGACCAAGGAGGCGAACGCAACCTTTCGCCTCCCCGCGCCTCCCACACACAGACTTCCCTCTCCCCAGCCCCGCTCTGCTGTCAGCTGGACAGTTTTCTGAGAAAAACCCATGCAGTGAGCTATTTTCATCCCTCCTGAAAGCATCCCCCCACCTGCTAACACACCAGCACGTTGACACTGTGAACATCTGGGGCACAGCACTCTAGTGTGCCCCAAAAACAGGATGTCAGACCACGAGGTCACACTGCCACAGCTCAAGGGGACCAGTCCCAGCAGCCTAAACCCCCTGGAGCATCCCTCCCACCCTGTCACAGTCTCCTGCTGACCAGACCCAGGCAAAACCAGCTCTTTCAAACTCCTCACAGCCCTCACAGCACTCGCAGGAGACTTGATCCCCTTACAGGGACAGGAAGGAAATGCTTTCACGTTGGGGTTTCATCTTGCACACATTTACAGTAAGCACCAGGCAGGAGGGGAGGTCCCCAGCCAGAGCAGGAGGCCTTGCCTTCCCTGGACAACCCGGAGTACACACACATTGCTCCAGGCGTTGGTTTTTCTCATGGTGCTCCCTGTGCAGAGATCAGGCTGGTTTATCCTCAGCAGGTGAAGGAAGAAGGGAGGGGAACAGTGTCCAAAATATTAATAGCTGCCCTTGCTAGGAAGTGATGGAAGCAGCAGCCATGCAGTGCACAGGCATCAGAGACCCCCTTGCTAGCCAGAGACCCCTGAGCACCGGGAGAGCTGGGGGTGGAGAAAGGCTAGAGGAAAAATATTCAGTGCCAGCTTGGAGGAACAGGATGCACGGTGCCTCCAGCCTGTCCCCATCACCCTGTGAGGTGCTTGAAGTCACCAAGCCTCCCCCAGGACACTGGGAAGGAGAAACCATGAGGCTAAGACCTATGTCCCATCTTCAATGGCCACCCCACAGGCAAAGTCCCATGTTCCACCTCCAAGTGCCCACTCCAGCACAGGGTGTCCCTGTAGCAGCTGGATGCTCCCGTGGAACCATGACTCATGGTTGCTTGGCAGGATTCAGGCTGGC